TTCATTGTTGTTTTCGGTAGACGAAACATCCGTAAGATTCTTGGGACTGATCCGAGGCTCTCTGGCGGCAGATCGGAAGTCGAACAATCCACGCGGGGGGGGGGGGGGGGGGGCTCTCCGCCGATCATGGTGGATTTGATATAGGCTCGGGTGACCCTGTGTCTTCACGGTGAGGCGGCCTCACTTAGGACGACGCTATGGTTTCAGAGGTTTTCAGCCAATCACAGTCCTCGGGGCCGCCTCACCGTGAAGGCACGGGTCACGGGACTAAATCCACCATCACCCTCCTGGGCTTATGACCGCTGGGCCGGACCGGGCTGCTGGAGGGAGGTCAGCAACGTGCCGTGTTTCTTTGTGCCTCTGTCACTTTTGGAATCGCCCAGCTGCCATTGATGTTGCTACTTGTATTGTACCCTCGCATGGGCAAGACAAAGGGGATGAGCGATTTAATGTCTGATGGTACACTGCTGGAATTTTTCTGTTGATTCAAATAATTTTCCAATGCTTTGAGGGTAAAATGGCCATAGGGTAAAGAATCGTCATTGTTTTAAAACAAAGAAAGCTCCTTCAAAGTACACGAAAACATTCTATCATGTCATATAAACGGAAATTTCCGCTGAAGTAAGGGAATTACCATAAGTTCAAAGGAACAATAAGCTATTTCAGAGAAATGGGAAAGAAGAACAGCACGAATAACAAGGTGGCCCGAGATTCGTCGCCCGTTTCACCCCTCCAACTGAGCGACGAATCACAGGCCTCCTCTTGTTATTCGTGCTGTTCTTCTTCTCCATTTCTCTGAAATAGCTTATTTTCTCGGTAGATCTCCGTGAGAGCCAACGGACATATTCAGAAAGATCGCTTTTCGTCCTTTTCGTACACACACCTCCCGTATAGCTCCGTCCTTGTGAGCAGTCTGTATCAGCTGAGGGCAGCAGGCCGGGGAAAGACCAGCCCCGTCGTCCCCGTCGAGATTCTATTTTCTGCCTAAAATCCGATGCAAATGCGATCGAAACCACACAATGGAGTGGTGATGGGCCGACGCTCCTTTGAACAGGGAGGAGGGGGGGGGGGGCTCGCACTCTCGTACACCTTACGAGAGCAGACCAGGGGACGTCTACTCACAAGAGCTCCGTGAGAGCCTCTGCGTCCTGCGACCGGCGGTGCGGGACCCGCGGGATCCGCGAAACCAAATTGACCTTCATCCCCCCCCCCCTCTCTCTCTCCTCTCTCTCCTTTTCTTTTTAAAGTTTTCTCTCCCCCTATCGCCCCTAAAAATATTCGTTTTGCAAAGTATGGATGGGGGAGGGGGTATACCAAACCAAGCCACATCCGTTAAAGTGGTCATAGAAAGCCTCACGTGCGCGTCGGCTCACAAATACTAATAAAAGTGTCGCACAAGCATTTGTACCTCGCTCCGATTTAGCGCACGTGACGATTAATGATTTGTCCACTGGGCGCCTGCAGAGAGAAAATTGGAAGTGGAAAAAAAGGATACTGCCCCCTGTGAGATTTGAACTCACGACCCCTGGTTTACAAGACCAGTGCTCTAACCCCTGAGCTAAGGAGGCGAGGTGGTGGAGGGGATTGGGCGGTGCGTACTGCATCCGCTTCCCCCTCTCCTCTGACGGCGCGGCGCGGCGGCGGCGGCGGCGTCGTCTGCTAGACAGGAGGGCTGGGGCGGCCATCACACTTTATAGTTGTGCCCGCTTGCCAAAACGCCAGAGAAAAGCCAATAATAATCGCACGCCCGGTGAAGTGGGGGCGGGTTGCGTGCGCCGAGTCCAAAGTGTGACCTCTGGGCGACCCCCCTTCGAGCTGAGGCAGCCCTGGCAAGCGGCAGGGAAGTCAAGAGACTCTCTTTGGACGGTCGCGGGACGCAGCAGGAGCGCTCAAAGGACATAACCTCACCTCCCCTCGACCAAGTTTGAGAAAACCCGCGGCACAATGGCAGAGGTGAGCGTGTTTCTCTCGATGTTTTGCAAATTTTCGGCGTCGGATGCGTTTCGCAAATGTACAGACTGTCATCGACTGGATGACCTCGCACCCGTTTCGCGCCAAACTAAATTTACACCAGCGCCCAAAGGTGGCTCTGGCTGTTTGGGTTTACTTTGAGTTGTAAAACCGTCAGAGCATGGGTCGCTCTGTGATTCTCGGGGCTACAAATGTTTGCTTCTCTCGCACTGTGCACTCTGATTGTCTTGTGCTATGTGAGGGGCAGTAGACGCGTGGCCAGTACTGAGTCAATCATCCCTTCTGGTGGTCCTCATACAGATCTTGCTGGGTACTCAGCCTGTCACAAATGGGAGGTAGTATTGCACTGTTTGTGCCCTTGTTAGAAAGAAAATTCGATGGTTGATGTTGTGTGAAATAAGTGTTGATCATTGAAATATTTTTTCTCGCCAAAAGAGTTACGCTGAAAGGATTTTGATTTTACGTCTTTTATTGTTTCAGGTACCAAGGCTCAACTTAGATATGACACCTTTCAAGGAGGCAAAGCTCCCAATTATCTGGGTCCTTGGTAAGTTCTATTTGCTCATGATTTATAACTCACTCTTTCTTGGTTTGGAAAAATATTTCTAATTTGGTGATTTTTTGGTTTTTGTTTGTAGGTGGCCCTGGCTCGGGCAAGGGAACGCAGTGCGTTAAAATTGTGGAAAAGTTTGGTTACACTCATATTTCGTCCGGAGATCTTCTGAGAGCTGAAGTTGCTTCAGGGTCAGATCTTGGCAAGTCCTGTGAAGCGATCATGAAGTCAGGCAGCCTGGTTCCAACGGTATGTCATATCACCCATGTACTATTACTTTCTTTTAACAAGCTGTTTGTTGTTGTTGTTGTTGTTGTTGTTTTTGTTGTTATATTCAACAATGTTTGCTTTTTAGGGTGTGATCATGGACCTAATGAAGAAGGCTATCCTTGAGGCAGTTCCCACCTCCAAGGGTTACCTTATTGATGGTCTACCTCGAGAATTGGGGCAAGCAAAAATATTTGAAGAAGAGGTGAGAACAGCTCTTCTAGATTTATCATCATTCTGTGCATGGAAAGAATGTAGTTTAATAATCGTCTCTCCTTAGATATCCCCTTGCGCACTTGTTCTGAACTTTGAGGTGTCAGATGAGACCCTTAAGGCCCGCCTTCTTGAAAGAGGAAAGGGCTCTGGCCGTGTTGATGACCAGAATATTGAAACCATCTTGGCTCGCATTGAAACTTTCCACCAGATTTCCGAGCCAGTCATCAAACAATACGCCAACTTATGCAAAACGGTAAGTTCAAATACAAGGCAGACATTTAAATTCTGTGCAGTGACTGTTTTCTGTAAACATTTCCTCTACTGATTTTTTTTCTCCTACTCACAGATCAGTGCTGAACGTGCTGTAGATGAGGTTTTTGCTGATGTAGAGAAGGCCCTAAGTTCACTTGCTTAAAGCAATTTTTTTCACTTTTCCATTTATTCATCTTCTCTACCAAATGTTGCTGTGTCAAAATGTTGGTGAAAGAGTGTCACTTCTGAACTTGTAACTTTAAAAGTAGGAAATCGCATTTCTTATTTTTGTCACTTATTTGCAACTTTTTTTGCTCTTATCATTTCAATTTCATTGCTTTTACTATTTATTGATTTACAATGTTGTTTGATATGCTCATAACTCACATTCAATACCAATTTATTTTAATCTTTGACTGTTTTCAGAACAAATGTTGTGTGAAATCAAAAGACATCGAACCATAGCACAGTCACTGCTTGATACTAGAGTCCTCTATTTATCTTACTTGAATAATAACCAGCGCTTTTTGTAGTTTGATTGTGGTTTTACCAAAGAAAAAATCAATCTGTTATTAATCAACATTTAGTCGGGCAGTAGTTTTAGAAATTTTAATGACAATACTTTCATTATAACTTCATGGAAGAAAACTTACTCTCTATTTTTTGTTGTTGATTAGGGTTCCACAGTATTATTTTGCCTTTATAAATTATTGCCAAAATGTCCTATATTTTTGCGTCCAGGGTAAATGTAATGTTTCATTAAGAAACAGTTTTGTATTTTATGATGCTAGTCCTGTTATACCCTCTTGCCTTGTCAATTGAAAAATTTATTTAATTCGAATGTTCAGAGTTGAGATGAAGAGCGTTCTTGTCAAGTTCGAAATGTCTAATGCTCACCTCTCACTATGTTACCATCCTGTACAATTATGTTGACACGTGTTGTTGTTGTTGTTTTAAATTTTATTCTTGGTGATATTTTGTTTGTGCTCAATTCAGGATGCGTTGATTAATGTGTTTCACAATTATATGCCAATTTGCTCACAAAATGCATATGTCTCCTCCTCCTATGCTCTATACGCATTATTCGGGTTGAAGAAGGGAGTGGGGAAGGTGGGTAGAATGCTCCCTCCCTCACACTATGTACTCTGTCTTCCCCCGGTGGGAATCACGGGCTGCACAAAGTTAGTCGGCCTCTTGCCTCGCGACCCTTTCCCCAAAATGAACACACACACGCACACATGTGTCTTCCTGTCGGAGGGGACACGACGTGGATGTGACGGGACTACGGACTCTTCCCCATTATCCCATCAGCAGCGGTTAGCCTCTATGGCAGGCCGGCTTCATCGAGGGCCTCGTGGCCCCATGGCCCCCGGGGTTGCCCATGCCGGCCGTCATGTGCTCATGAAGGCTGGCCGGGCACGGCCACGGCGCGGACCCTCCAGACGCGGTGACTCCTCGCCGTGCCCCTCCTCCCCGCCGCCGCCTTGCCCTTTGACCCCCAACCCCCTCTGGCCCTGCTGGCCGACGGCGGGCCGCCGCCTGGCCGCCTGGCCGCCCCGGTGTGGGTCCAGTCCAGCAGCAGCCGAGTCGAGGACGCCGACCGGGCCCGAGCTACACGTCGACGCGCGGCGTGAGGATTGTCCTCCTGGACCCGGACCGGCCGGCGTCGCGGCCAACGCTATCCGACTGAGGTGAGTGTGCGCCCGCGGACCGACGGGGTCACCATGGTGTGACGCGGTTGGGGTGGTAGTGGGAGTCGGTAGGTGGTGGTGGTGATCATCGTGGTGTTGGTGATCATGGTGGTGGTGGTGGTGATCATCGTGGTGGTGGTGGTCATGGTGGTGGTGGCAGTTAGTGGTCGGGGTGACCATAGGTGGTGAAGGCGGTTGGGGTGGCGGAAGATAGTGGTGGTGTCGCGCTCTTCTCCAGCGAGCTCTCCAGCGAGATCCCCAGAGACAGTGACGAATGACCCAACAGCGCGCGGAGCGACCCAGCGGCCGTACCTCAACCGGAGCAGAAGGTGCCGTCACCTCCTCGCACACGCAGAGAAGGTCTCGAAGGTCGTCCTCGGCGTCCACTTCGTGGCGATGGGGGGCGCGTTTAGTGCAAACTCGCCATTTCCTGCCCCGGCCGCCGGGCGGGCCCCGCGGGACGGCGACGGCGACGACGTCGTGGTCGCGGTGCGTGGGTGGCCGTTTGGAGCCGTGGAACTAATGCGCCAGTAGTGCCTCAGCTGCACGTTACTGGCACTACTGGCTCCTGCACGTGCGGCGGCCGCGGCTCGGCCCGGTCCGCAGGGGCCGAAATAAGGCAGGGAAACACACACGATATGTACTTCCCCAGTCCCAGTGTCCATACGCCCACGGTAGCGCATTAATGGATTTTGCAGGAATGCGCTAGAATCGGACTACTCTGTGTGATCGCGCATTCAAACGAGCTCGCACCTGTGCTATGCTGAGCACGCTGACCCCTCTGACCCCCTTCCCCCGCCCACGCGACCTGAACCCCTCCTCCCCTCCCCGTTAGCGATCACATAACGGTGTGCGTGTACGTGTGTGTGTGTGTGTGTGTGTGTGTGTGTGTGTCCTTCATGGACACTTTGGGCAAAGCATCAGATCAAAGCAGAGACGTATTTACCCACATCGTCGTTCGGTCAAAAGGTCCGCGCCGAATGAGCGTATGAAACGATGTAAAAGAATGTTGGCGTTCAGAAAGGTATCAGACGATAGCAGCTGCCCCCCCTCTCCATATCCCCTCCCCCTCCCCCCTCTCTCTCCGAGCGAAGGTCAACGGCGCGGCGCGCAGCCGCCGGGCCGCCGGGCGTTCAAAACACAAACACTGGAACCGGACGGCGGTCCGGGCTCCGGGCGGGCCTGGAGTCCAGGCAGCGGCTCCAGGTGTGGCGGCTCCAGGAAGTGGGCGCAGGTACCCGCCTATAGCGCCAGTACGCATTCGTTGCTGAATGAAAACTATTTATGGCACAATATTTGTCTGTCGCATTCATTGATGAATGAAAACTATTATTATTAAAAATTACACTTGGTTATTGCTTGATGAATGAAAACTAATATTGCTTAATAATATTTGGTTTTTGCATTCATTAACGAATGAATGACAACTACTACCATTATTATTATTGTTTTATAACGCATGGTTATCGCTTCCGGGCGGCGACTTTGCAGTGGAACTTGTTTACAAGCCTTGCAAAAACAAACAAATTTGCATACGGAGGGAGTGAGGCAATCGCGTGTGTCCCAGCTTATCGTAAGGCAGCCGTCGTTTTAGCGATCCCTTTCTTCGGGGTCGCTGTCTTTGTCTTCCTATTTTCGCGCATCGCCGCGAATCTTTTCTCGTCCCGTTCATCGGCTCGTGTCCGTGTCCACCCACGACCGGTTTGCTAATAATGTTTGCACGCGCATCCTGACGACACACCTTTAGGCAGGCGTCGTCGCGGCCGTGAGCGTCGTGAGCGTCCTGACCGCCCCCCCCCCTCTCTCCCTACACCACCACTCAAGCCTCAGCTTCGGTTCAAAGCCGAAGTGTGCGGGCCCGAAGCCTCGGCTCTCGGCTCTGCTCTCTCTGTTCGGCACGTCGTTGGTTGCGTCCGTCACCGAAAGCCGAGCCTTACACACGCCACACGCCAACACACACAGCCGAAAGCCGAAGCTTCCCCTCTAAAGCTTCGGGAATGAGTTGGCTTCGTTTGTTGTCCCCCCCCCCCCCCTTCACGCCTGCACCGAACAAAGGAGCAACAACAACCATCACACCGGGGCCGCAGCGGGGCCGCCAGAGCCAGAGGATCGGTCCGGTCCGGCAGAGTCTTTCAGGGTCGAGGGCGAGGACGAGGGGCTTGATGATGACGATGAGCACCAGGTCGTCTCCCCTTCACTACATTACTCTACACATTTTCGAACGCCTGGCGTCGCTAGAGGTGCGGGGTGGGGTGGGGTGTTGCGGGGCGGGGCGGCCAGCTGTGCAGTGTTTTGGTTCGGCGGCGGCGTGGCTCGGCCGCTCTGTTCGGCCGGCCCGGCCGCGGCGCGCGGCGTGCAGTGAGCGTCGAGCCGGAGGAGTGAGCGGTCGCCGTGCAGGCAGGCAGCGTACGTTGCGCTCGAGCCCATACTGTTGCGCCGCCGGTGTAGCTGCGGTATAAAGTCGTCGGCGTCGTTGCTGCTGCTGCTGCTGTGGTGGTCGACGTTTGTGAAGTGCAATAAACCCCCCCGGACCTCCGACCTGGCCGCGGGGTCGTGCGGCATGGCCAGCTGTAGCAGAGGGCGCGCGAGGTGCATCGAGAGCGAGCACCACCACCGTCCCGGACGTCCTGGTCGAGCGCGCGAACAGGAGGCGAGGAGGAGGTGAGTAGTCCCCGTCGTCGTCGTGGTGCTGCACTGCAGTGCACTGCGCGCGCGAGGAACTCGAGGACACGCTGCGCCGCCGCCGCGGCCGCGGCCTCTTGGACCCGGGCCAGGACGGCGCCGTCGTTGCCGACGCACCGCGACCGCCGCCCCGCCCCCCTTTCCGTATGGGGGCCAACGACGGCGACGACGTGGAGCGAACTGAACGCGAACGTCTTCAGCAGCGATGACATGGAGACAGACACACACGTGGAACAAAACAGAGAACAAAGACTCCTGCTCGACTCGTCTTGTCTTTGGAGACCCGCCCCGTCCGTCTGTGTGTGTGTGTTGGAGTGTGTTCCGGGCGCACCCATGCCGCCTCGTGTCGTCGAGCGCAACACGGGGCCCATGCGGTAGAGACGTGGACCCCATCCCATAGGAGGGGGGGGGGGGGAATCTGAAGATGGAGCCCCTGCTGCCCCCCCCCCCCAGTCGGGCCCGGCCGCAGCAGCAGTAGCAGCAGCAGCATACTAGACAGACTAGACACCCCCTCCACAACGCCCCCTCATCCTCATTCCTGGACCGGTCCAGTCTCCATGCTCCAGGTGTGTGCGCGTAGGCACGGGCATCAGCAGCAGCAGAGCCAGTAAGGACTCCCTCCCCCCTCCTGCCTCGTGCCCGGCGGCGGCGGGGACCCCATAGGGAAGTCCATTCCTACATCTCCAATGCTGCCAAATTGTTCATACGACGCCGCCGGTCTTCCCCGCCAAATTTTGGGCAGGTTTCTCTTGGACGTCGAAACTCAGTGGATCATGTAAATGACTGCGGGAAAATGACACCGGTAGGAGTCTTTTGCAAGTACACTGACATGTCCAAGGTGAAAATGTACCACCCAATCGCAACGGTTCGTTTACTGGTGCCGTTTTTAGACAGTCCCCAAGGCTGTCTCTATTTTTATTTTGTTATCGAAATGAAATTCCTCAACAATCTCTGTGGAGGTATTGCCATGCCGCGCGCAGGATGAGTAAGAATCCAGGGATTCTACGTCTGATGAGACAGGAGGGGGCTTTACGGAGGTCCCCAGGAGGAGGAAGCTGCCTTCTACAACCCGTCCTCTGAGGAGGGGGGTGGGGTGGAAGAACGTTTCCAGGGGCTGCCGCTGTGTGATCAGGATCAGACGCCGACGTTGGATTGCCGTTCGCCCGGTCGGTCCGACGTGCGTGTGTGTGTTTGTGTGTCCGAAGACGGCTCGCTGACCCCGCCTCGTGGTGTGGGTGACTGCCCGACCGGGCCGGCCGGCCACACTTTCGGCCCTTTGCCAACGAGGAACTGCGGCCGATGCCGCGCCGTCGTGGTGGCGCTGTTGGGCGAGGCAAGAGGCTGCCGAGGGCGTCGTCGCGCCGTCGAGCGGGCTTTGTTGGAAGGTCGCACGGCCGCCCAGCGCTCCGACCGGCCGCGAACCTTGTGATAAGACGCAACATGGTTTCGCCCCCCCCCTCCTCCCTCCACTTTACCCCCCGAAATCCCTCCTCTCTCCCTCTCCCGCCTCTGGGCGCAGCAGCAGCAGCAGGGCGGAGGTGGAGACAGCGCCGGCGAAACAGAGTTGCTCGGCTTGGACCACCACCCTACCACCCGGCTGGCCTGGCCAGGACAGGACTTCGCACCGCTTCGCACTCGCGCGGTCACTTCGGAGGAGGAAAGTGGTTTTGGTCGGTCCGCTCCGCGCGCCGCGCGCCTCTGTCGTCGCGCCGTATTACATCGCGCACCAAAAACCGTGAAGCGGGAGTGCACTTTATGAACATCGGTATGGACACAGGGGGGTTGTTGGAAACCCTGGAAAGTTTCCGGAAAATTTCAGGAAACATTACGGCGAAAAACGGAAAATTTCCGGGGAAAAAATTGAAAATTTCCCAGACTCTGGAAGTTTTCCGTCATCTTCCCGAAATTTTACGGAAATTTTACGGAAATTGTCTGGAAAATTTTAGAAATTTTTGACCCTAGGACACAGTTGGCAACGCTGATTGGGCAGTTTTTGTTCGGTTTTCTCTCCGGAGGTTGGGTTGGACTATCGCCTCCTGCGGCCCGGCTGTTCATTGTTGGGCAGGGATGGGTATGGATGGTTTGG